CTCGGCGCTGCGTCACGGGGGGGAGGCACGGGGGGCGCGGGCCGGGGCGCTCCGGGCCCCCCAGGCCCCCCCGCCCGCCGTGCCTGAATCGGGGGTGCTCATACATTTTTGCCTTTTCCCCGTTGTTTGGTCTTTTTTGTTTTTTTTTTTTATTTTTTTTTTCTCCCTATTTTTAAATACATTATTTTTATCGCTGTTATTTTTCCAAAGGCGGTGTTTCCCCGCTGTCGGCCGCAGCGCGGGTTTCAGCAGCGCTGGCCGGGCCCGCGCAGGCTCCGGCGGCGATCCGCTGTGCCTGCCCGGCCGCGGGGCTGCGGCGCGGCCTGGCCGCGCTCGCTCCGCAGGCTCCTGAAACCCTGCTGGCTCACTGCATCACCTCGCCAAAATGCAAAAGCGTTTTAACCTTTTTTTTTCCTAATTATTTTTTTTTTCTATTGCTCTTGTTCCCTTCACCTTTTTTTTTCTTTCTTTTTTTTTTTTCTCCTAGAACTTCTAATAGAAAAGGATAACGAGAAGCTGCTCCTCTAGAATAATGGCCTGCAAAGATTTTTATTTTGTTTTCTGCTGAGGCCTTACTTGTGGTGCTTTTTCATCCAGAAAAAAAATGATGTGACTCCCGTGCAAGTTTAATTTTTCTGTTAAAACAGGGCTGCGGTTGAGCAGCTCTATTTAAGTATTACGTTTTTTAAGGTTTCATTTTGAACTATCAGAGAATTGCTTTTGCCATCATATGCAGAGTTATATCAGTATTTGTAAGGAATGTTATTTCTAGCCCAGTGACACAGAAATTGCAACCTTCAGTCCTTCAAAGCAAACATTTCTTCTTGTTTTATCGAGAGTCTGCATCGAATGTTGTCTTATCAGCTGTCTTTTCAGACTATGTACCTGATATTTCTGTTGTAGCTTCTAGGTACCTGAAAAATTAAATAAGATTGTGCTTAACTAGCAGTTTTTTAATATACACATGGTAGATTGTTAGCTTTGTGCGTTTGCCATACAGCTTTAGAATGGCAGAGTACGGTGTAGTCGTGTTTTCATGGCTTGTTTCTTTGTATTTTGCATTAATGCCTTGAGCTTTCAAGCTGTGTTTGTGTCAAAAGCGATTTGTGTGTATCACTGCGGAAAAGGAACCTCAGGAATATGTGGTCAAATAATAGATGATTGCTTTGGTAATGGATTGCAGCTTAAATGAGATGTAAAAATAAACATTTTGAAAGAGTTTTGAGAAGTGTATTTCAAATTTATGTAATAATTTATTTAAACTGTTCTCGTTGTAATTAATATTTCATTTCTACTACCCTATCTGAGGAAGAGTAATTTTGCTTTACATTAATGTAAAAGGAACTTCAGGTAGAAAGTCACACTGACTTCACTCTGTCTTCATTCTTTTGTAGCTTTTAAAGCTTTTCTCAGGAGACAGGCACAGATAGTCAAGTGATGAATAGTCCCTGGTAATAGGTGCCAAAATTAGGCTGTAAATTAGCTTTTTCTTTAGAATATCTCCAGTTGTGTGCTGCTTCAGCTCAGTGGACGTTTTGCTGTCCAGGAGAAGGGAATTGCCAGGAGTTTGAGCAGTGGCCAGGTCCACGCGCTGGCCGCTGCCTCTGTGACCGCTCCCTGCAGCTCTGCGGGATGGGCACAGGGATAATAAGGACAAGGGTTCCTCGGCTTTAGTTTGGTCAGGATGGCTTCATTTACCCTACGGGATGTTGGTCTTCCCTTGCTATTGAGTCTTCAATAGACTGAAGAGTTTTGGGTGAACACATGCTCAGCATAGGTGGAGTCTTTGAGAAGCACTTGCATTGTGAGGAGTCGTTAGCAGGCGCCTGTGAAACAAATCGTTTTCCAAAGGGCTTGGATTAGTGTGGATGGGTTTCTACACACACAGATAATCAGGGCAATTCTTCCAGTTTCAGGCCTTACAATGGCCGGGATGCAAATATTCATGAGGAGGGTGGGACTCATCTTGATGCTCCTGTAGTTACTCTTTTCCTGTCTGCATTTTGGCTTGTACCTGCTTCCTTGGCCATCCCCGTGATCTGTGCTTCCCATGATACCTCCTTGTAGCTCCTGCAGCCTCTAACATGTATGTACATGGCACAGCACCCAGGCCAGCCTTGCCTTGCCTCTCGCTGACTTTTTTCCTGTGTTGCTGCTACATCTCTGCAGCCCACCAGTAGTGCTTTTTGCTCAGCATTAATTGGGGGCAGCTTGGTTTTTTGTCTCCTCTGTGCAAGGAGATCAGTGCACCTGGTAAAGACAGCGTGAATTGGGTAGTCTGTTCCTGTGGCTTGTATCACAAAAGATCCCAAAAGATGGGAGGGAAGTTTCTGCTTAGCTTATGGATCCCTGCGATCTGAACCGATGGATCCTCTTCTTGAGCCCAGGAGTTCAGGTGCAAATTCCTGTCACTTGAGGTGTGCATAGCTCTTGTCCTGAGCCTGGAGAGAGCGGTCTGAGCGAGCTGTCTCCCCATGGAGACCATTCCTAGGCGGGAGGGAAACGAAGCCTGGTGACCTATCTCAGCGCAGTGGGGTTTATGGGGTTTGCCTGTACCTAAGTGGAACCTGATCTGCCCTTAGTTGTATTTACTGCAGGCAGTGTGGTTTTGCTTCTCCCCCTCTGTGCACCAGGGATCATTGATCAGTTACACCAAACCAAATTGGACTAAATTAGTAGATGCTTCCAGTGACTTAGTTCGTTAAAATGCTGGGCTACGTAGCTGGTTTTTAATTGTATAGTGGGACTGTACTTTGCTCCACCAAGATAACTCTTGTTAAATAAATAAAATTTTCAGTTTCAAAGGGAATTTACAGTTCCAGCAGGTTTTGCAATTTTCAAGGTTGACATCAGAGTTACAGTTAAAACTACGTAAGGCTTACCTCGGTCTGTATTTTACTGTCTGCAGAATGTTTCCCTCTGTACACACTTGAGCAGAAAATTGTGTTACCTGCTTAATACTCTTGGACTTCATTTCTCATGATAGATTAGAATTGGAAGATGGGGCTGTATTTGCAAGTTAGTTGGTTTGCTCATATTTTGAGTATATTCATACATAGCTAACGTGGTGCTGTAAGTTGTATTTCGATGTACTGTTTCAAGTTCTGTTTGTAATCTGGCTTTGGCAACCCAGCAGGCTGCCCCTTTAGCTCCTGAAATACAAGCCTGTGCTAAAGCACTGCCATTAACTGTCATGGCTAATGCTGATACATCTGTAATGCACTTACCAGATTGCTAATTAACTCATAGCCACACAAAACAACCCACTCAAAATTCCTCTCTTTGTTGGCAGTCTCAGTGGATTTGCAGGATTTGAAAGGGCATGGCCAGGATTCATTTGTTTTGGTGATGTAAATAAGAGACTTTTGTGATTGACAGTTAAAAAGTTAGGAGTCTGTTTGGCATGAAAGTAAAAACAACAATAGAAATAGTAGATCTCAGTTTCTTTCAAATGTTTAGCCCTTAATTGTACATTTAATCACCAGATGTTCCCAGTTTTATTTAAAACACTGTTATAACTGGAAATTTTATGATTTAAGGGATAAGTAGCCCCATGAAGTTAACTGTATATATTTTTTCGTGTAAATAGGCATCACTGTTTCTAGGAGTGACTTAGATGCAGTTGTGACATGCATCGGCTGGATGCCTTCCACATACATGTTTTAGCTATATATACAGCCTTGGTGGTAAAAACAAACCAAACAAAAGCCTGTAGTTTTAGAAACACACTGATTAATCTATTAGGTGCATTAAATCTGTTCCCTTTATACTTCCAGGGTGAAAATCAGTTGGAATGAAGTGCTTTATCTCACTAATATGTGCTGCAATATTACTTTAAATTTGGGATTTCTTCATCTTTGTTAATCATGTTCTGAGTTTTTTCAGAAAATCAGCTCATCTGCCATTCAGCTTTTCTTATGAGTGTGCACATTATGATTAGATACCCAAACCTTTTTTGACTATTAAAACACAAATAATTTATTACCAGTCAGTCTGCAATAAAGAAATGGGTTTGGGGTTCTTTAGAAAGGAAGGTATGCCTGAGCAATGATAATACAAGTTTGGCCAGGAGAGAAGAAATGAACAAGAAATACCACCTGCATTGAGAGAAGCTTGACGGGCTGTTTGGGTAGGTGAGTTCTGCAGTTGCATTTGCAGTAGGTCTGCAAGGCATTCCATGCAGCCAGCATTCCTTATGATACAGGGGTGCTTCAGGCATGCCTGCATCTGGTGTTTGGGACAGATTATATGGGTGGCTCTTCCTCAAGCCAGCTGCTGCGGCTGGGTACTGCTACGGCTAATAGTAGTACCTGAGTCATTAGCGTGTTGCTCATTGACCAGCTGCATTAACATGTTTTTTTGTACTTAATTAATATAAAAATTTGGGAATCCTGGTGTCTGTACCTCTGCAAACAGTGCTGCATGGGTCTCAATTGCTTATCAGCTTCCAATGCAGGATTTTTGGAATTGGCTCTGTTGGAAGATTCCCAAATCCGTTTCAAACGTTTAGCTCAGGAAGCCATGCTGCTGGAATGGTGCACCCAGGGCAGATGTGGTCATGGAACTGGGGGTTTGCTGTGAGCTGCTTGTCCCAGAGCTGCAGAAGGAGTTTAGCTTCTGTCAGCACTGCTGACAGCTCATGTGCTGATGGAACTACTCTGGCCTCCTTTCATTAACCAGTAATTTCTTCTCTAATATATTCAAGAAATGTGTGAAGCTAGAAGTCATATTTGGGATCAGCCTGAGTGTTCTCATGTGTAGGACTTGTTGGTGGGTGACTTTGTGAATCTTCCTGTGTTTAAATGCCATACCTTCAAAAATAATAGCAACCTTCACATTCCCACAGAGGGAAAATACACACACATAAACTCATTAGTTAGAGTAAGGATGTGTAAATAGTCTTTATTTGTACTGGTTAATCCCTTTTTTAAAATTTCTATAAAATTCAAGCATTGATATCAGACAATACTTTTAACAGTTACAATTTGTAGCGAGCATTTGTTCTATAAACTGTATGGAAATTACTTTTGGGGGAAAAAGACTGCTGGAATATGAAGTAATTTTGTCAGGCTAAATGTGGTTCCCACTGCTCGCATTTAAGTGAGACTGATGTGTGGTTAAGGCAATGATAAATTTGGTCCTACATTTATTTTTCATTTCTGAATAAATACCAAACACTGGTGGCAGTGAATTAGTCTTGAACTGCATTATTATTAGGATGTATCTCTTGTGGAACAGAAAGGTTGAAGTACTGTAAAAAGAATTAAAAGGAGCCTTGAGTTTGACTGCTTCAGAGTGTGTGTTGTGCTTGTGCAGTTGACAGTGCTCTTGGTCTTGGTCAGGGTTTTCTTCAGGACCAGACCTAGGGTCTGTGGTTTATCATTCACAACACTTCTTTACCATGTAGAAAATTAGAAAGTGATTGTGTGATTTGCTATTAAATTATCTGAATCCAACTGATGTTACTAGATTCTGTAGGAGAGGTTTTTATTCTGTATTTCAGCCTTGTTTCCATTTTATACTGTGAATGATTAATGTGGTGAAAATTGCTGTTTAATTATGTTTTGCCTTTACAAGAGACTGGAGAAAATACAGTAAAAGAGATTGAGATTATAGAGAAAGCATCTAACAATTAAGAAGTGCCCAACATTAAGTAGTTATTGCCCTTACTCACTGAAAGTCAGTCTGACTGACAGCAGCACAAATCCCAATTTTTTGGTGCAGTAAAGTCCTGCAAAAGGTAAGGGCTGTTGATGAAGAAGGAAATCCACATCTCCTGAAGTGTTTGATCAAAGCACCCACAGGATCTGGATTTAATTTCTGACCCTGTTGCAGATTTCTGCTTAATACTGGAAAAGATTATCATGCAGCTACGTAGGGGAGCAGAAGTAAGACTGTAAAAAGAGTCTTAGTTCTCCTGTGTCTATTTCTGAGCTTAAAGATGACAAATGACTTTATGTAATTAGTGGGGGAAGAAATGCTAAAAGTCTTCTTGGGTTGCCTGAAAAAACCTTGTGTGGAATAGTGAGTTTTCCAGTCTGTCAGGCTTTTTTTTGCACTGAGACTCAGAAGGCTGTAACACGTACGAATTATCATTTGAAGTGTATTTAACAAGATTGTTAATTATAGGTACTACTTTTCAGTTTTCACACATTTGTTGCTCAGACTAGTTTTGTGAAATTACTGATACTTGCAGTCATACAAATTGACAAGGACCCTAAGGTAGACAGTATTTAATTCAGAAAAAACTTTATAATGTTACACTGTGGACATACTTGAATTGATTTTGGGATCCAGCTTTGTCAAACATGGGAATACAGTTTTCTAAAATTCCTTAATAAAAGTTTCACTATTGTGAGGCTATGTATTATTTGCCATATTACCCTTCTTGATTGGTTTTTATTTGCTGTTTTTATAAGTTTTATAAAATTACAATGGTTTTGTACATTATTTAGAAGTGTATTAAAAATAAAAATGATTTTTCCTTTAAAATGAAATAAATGCATATTATTTCAAACTTCGCAGTGCTGTCTGCATGAGGGGAGTGAACAATCACAAGGCTGCTGAATGTTTACAGTAGTTTTTTTCCTGTCATTCTTTCCCAGTTTGTTTGCACATTCTAAGCTTGTATTTTGTAACAGTAAATTTTCTTCCATGCCTGCTATTACAAACTTTATTCCATTTCCCATTAATCATCCTCTAAGCATCATCTTTATCTCTCTAAGGAGTTTCTGCTACTGTCTCTGCAGGATTTTTCCTTTGTGCAGCAATACAGTGGTACAGTTATTCTTTAAATTGCTAATTTCTGCTCTTTTCCAGCCACACTGGGCTCTCCTCTCAGCTGCTGGAGTTCCCAAGTGCCCGAAACCCCCTTTCTGCTCCAGAGCAGCCATGCCCTCTGCCAGCTCTTCCCTTGCTTTTCAGTTCCCTGAATCCCACCTGTTGTTTTTTAGTTGCTGATTCCTAGTTTTTCTGTGGAGATTCCTGTTTGCAGTTGCTAGATTGTGTTTACATAAAAACCTTTCTTCTAACATTGCATCTTTTCTCCAAAACAAGTGATAGCACCCAGAAAATTCTATTTGTTTGAGTGTTAGTGGAGATAAAATCACAGGAGGTGCTCACTAAATAAGCAACTTGATGAAGTCTTCATAAAACATCTTTTGTTTTTAACAATCCTTTCCCTGCTCACATGCCTTTGGTTTCCAAGTGTTGAGAATTTAATGTGTATCCGGGAGTATTTTTTTCTGTTCAGATAATTTGCAGGGGGTAGTGGTTTGTTTTGTTTTGTTTTGGTTTTTTTTTTTTTTTTTTTTTTTTTTTTTTTTTTTTTTTTTTTTTTTTTTTTTTGTTTTTGTTTTTTTGTTTTTTTTTAATAAGAGCTTGCACCTCTGTGTCCTGCTGGATGCTGTTGAAGGCATCAGTGCTAGAAGGGGTGTCTGACTGTGGTCACACACTCTTCAGAGATTTTCTGTCGAATTTTTTTGCCTCAGGCAGATTTTTTGTGCGAAGTGTTTGAACCATCTAAAAGAATGGTGAGATTTTCTCTGCATGGATACCATGGACATGTTTTGGTGACTAATCGTTTCAGGAATGCAGGATACGTTAGTGTCCTTGTGAAAGTCTGCCCAGATATCGTCATTGACGTGCCTTTGGAAATTGACAGTTGCAGCTTGCGTATGATCTGTGAAGATTCGCAAGAGTTCACAAAGTCAGCTCTCAAGTTTTCACTTCAGTGAGTACTTCGTGACTGAGCCTGGGCTTGTCTTTTCTGTAAGACAGCTCTTGAGATGAAGCAGACTCCACGTGTGTCAGTCTTGCCAAGCTGCTATGTAGGCTCCACCCCAGGGTTCCTGGCTTTTCCTAAAAATGGTTACTTTAACTAATGAGCTGCCGTATTTGAAGTGGGTAAAGGAAATCTCTTCTAGATTTTTATTGACAGAACTCCTGGCAGACAGGAGATTTAAAGAAGCTAACTGATGCAAATGCAGAGGAATAAAAGCAATGATGTGGACCAGGGAAAGAGGCTGGTGAGATTCGGATTGAAAAAATGATGGAGACAAATTTGATGGAAACTGAAGAAAGTGACTGAAGTGGAGTCAAGGAAGAGATTTGAGTTTGATGAAAACCAACTGGTTTTGAAAAAGCAAAGCAAATTATGAAATGTTAGGAGAGTAGATTTGCAGGGTGGATGATACATGAACAGCAAGGTGATGCTGTTGTAGATGTATGCATTATTGAAATGATTATCAGAGAGTAGGTGAAGTTAGAAGGACTTTCAGAAATTTATCTGGTTCAGGCTTGATCAAAGCAAGTCTCATTTGCCCAGGGCTGTGCCAAGTTGCTTTGAACCTCTACAAGGATGGAGACTCCGTACCTGTCTTGGCAATTTGTTCCTGTATGTGATTACTCTTACCAAGTGACACTGTGGCATCATTATCTCTGATAGATTGACCCTTTTCTCTGCAACACAGGCCAACTCTGCATCCTTCCTTGCTGCATCCTTCCTTGCTGCATCCTTCCTTGCTGCATCCTTCCTTGCTGCATCCTTCCTGCCCTGTCTGGCTAGTCAGTGTTCTCCAGTGGGGAGAAAGAGGAGAGCCTGGAAGGGAGCAGTACATCCACTTTTGGCTGAGGGCTCTCTTCCCTGCACAACAGAGTGACAGAGCAAAACTGCTGTGTCCCTGCAGAGGGAGTGAAAGCTGGGGCTGGTGTTTGGGAGCACTCCAGTGCTCCAGCCTCTTGTGCAGGATGTAGTTCCAAGGTGGGTCTGAACGTGAGCTGGTGACACAGAGAGGAAGGAAGGAAGGGGATAGTGGTGTGAGGGGTCATAGAACAGAGCAGCAGCAAGAGAAGACTTGGAGACTGGTTGCAGAAGGAGTTGGTGTGGGCACGGGAGTATTTTATATTTTTCTGACAAGAAGGAGGGGATTATAGCTGGGAAGAGGCATGTCCTGGGAATTTGGTATTGTGACAGGACTGAAGAAGAAAATTGGTACAAGGAGAAGGGATGGAGCAGGGGATAAGGGACTCAGTGGAAGGACAGAGGATTCAGAGAAGGCTTTGCTGGAAGTGACCATTGAAAGGAGCTGGAATTGAGAGAAAAAGGCTGCATTGCTGCTGAGTTCTTGTGTATGATTGTCCATATCCTCTGGACAAAGTTGTAGCTATTGTTCTGTTTGCAGCAGTTCCCTTCAGCTGTTTTCAGTGTGTGTGAGTTGATAGCCATGTTACAGTAACAAACACTGTGAAACAATTTAAACAAATGCTCTTGCTCCTGCAGCCCTGAATGTATCTGGCATTAGATTTATTTTGCTTCCGAAGTAGCCACTCACCCCTTAAGCCATTAGTTCTGCCCAGACTCTCAGAACTCTGCAGCTGTCTGCATGGACTGGCTGCTGCCAAAGGTGGGAGCGGAGCCATGAGTTCTGCTGGAAGGGAGATGATACTAAAGGTGCTCTCCAAAGATACTTTGTCTAAGAGAGGGAATACTCCTCCAGTAGCCCCGAGCTGACAGGCCTTTGAGGTGCAGTCTGCTGGAATTGTTTCACTCTTGTTCCAGTGAGCACCTGTGGTTGTGTAGCCTTTCTTCTCTGCTGGGTGTAATGGTACAGCTGTTTTGCAGCCTGATTCCATGAGGTGTCCTGAACACAGTGCATGGAAAATGCTGCCAATACAGACCCCTGTTAGCAGTCAGAGGAGAGCCAGCCTCTGGGTGCTACTAGCATTTAGTATCAGAAATAGTTAATTTAACTTGCTGCAAGCTGGTGGGACCTCCAGGAAAGCAGCCCTTGCAAACCGGGCTGGAAAAAACTCCTTTTGCTGCTAGATTGTTGTTGTCATTGGTTGTTTTTTTTTTTTTTTTTTTTTTTTTTTTTTTTTTTTTTTTTTTTTTTTTTTTTTTTTTTTTTTTTTTTTTTTTTTTTTTTTTTTTTTTTTAACTGCAACAGTTTTCTGATCTTATTTGCTGCATAGTCCATGAATGCTGGGCTGCTTTGCTTCTGTGCCTGCTTAGGCTGACTCTGTAGCTACATCATTATTGATTTTTGGTTTGTGAGCAAACTCAGTGAAAGTTTTCTGCCTATTTTGAGATGGGGGGGATGATGAATGAGTAGTAGGGAAAGAAGTTACTTTTCCAAACTCACAGTCATGGACATGGCAGAGGAAGAGGTTGAACTCGGGATCTCCTATATCCTCATACAGTTCCTTGTCTCTTAGATTATAGTATCCAAGCAAATTTTCCTGTTTAATTTTCTTCAGAGACATCTATGTAAATGCAGTTTAGTCTGGATGGCTTCTCCTTTTTGTGTGTATTACATCTATTTTAGAGACGTAATACATTTTCTGTAAAAGCTTCTTTTGCTGAAAAGGATGTTGGAAACAATTACCCATCTTCTCTTGGATCCTAAAAATAACCCCTTGCACCCATTCTGAATTATATTTTGGTTTCTGTCTTAATTGCATCTTTCTGATGCTGTTGTTCAAATTCCTTATTCCAAGCCAGCATTTTAATTTCCGTAATGTTCCAGAGAGAAATTATGAGGCTATTAATCTTGCAAGGCATATTTCTTATGGAATTATGTACTGATCATTAGTAATGTTTTAGGGTTTTTTTGTATGATTTTCAATGTAACATATGAAAAAGGCAGGAGGACTTAAAACTTTCCCAAAGGTACTCTAGCTTTCCTTTGTATGATTTTCAATGGTAACATATGAAAAAGGCAGGAGGACTTAAAACTTTCCCAAAGGTACTCTAGCTTTCCACTTCCTTTGTTCAGTTGTATATGTTCCATTAACTGGAAATAAGAAGCTGAGCCTGCAGCTCTAGGAAAAAGTAATGGATGTATACATCCAAATGTATACAAAGTGTATACACTTGAATGTATTTGGAAAATACTGCTTGGGTGTAATTTTCAACTACTGAATTAGTGTGGCAACCTTTTAAAATACTGTATCACACTGGAGTACCTACATGGTCTAATTCTGTGCTCCTTATTCCTTGGTTTTTAGAAAATTACCGTTTTCTCAGTGGTCTTTGAGACTGTTGATTAATTGCTTCTTCAAGCGCAGATTTTTGGACTGAGGGATAAAAATAGTTAAATATATTTCTAAAGGTACTCATAAATAAATTAAACGTACTAGATTATTGTTCTCAGCCTTGAATTATAAACCAGCAGGTCATAGAACCACACTAGGATTAAAAGATGTGATGTGATCTCCCATATTAAAGCATGCCTGGTAAAAATGTGAGTATGCAAAAGGATGGCTCTGTCTGGTTCTGTGAGACGCAGCAGTCACTCCCTGATCACTGGCCTTTTGTCTAATTAACAAATTTTATCATGGGATACTTCATTATTTTAAAGGACAGATTGTTTTGTTTTGTTTGGTTGGTTTTTTGTTTGAACAGAAACCTTTCTGGAAAATCTAGGGAAATAGTTGAATTGTTCAGTTAGACTTTTGCAGTGTGTCATTGTTTTTAAACCTCTTACTGGCACTGGAGAGATCTTTGATTTATACAGATAAAGCCCTGCTGTTGTCATGGGTGACTATGGGTGAATTGTCAGCTTTATTTCAATTCTGGGGACAAATAGGTATCGTTACCTGCACTGTCATGACCATCATTAGTCTTTGTACATTGGTTAAATCACTTATATTTAACTGAAATTTAAATGTGGTTGATGAACTTTTATATAAATAAGTGCTACGTGAAGTCCTTAACATCTAAGTTAATTGTTAAATAAAGTAAAATACTTATATATTTCAGATAACTCTTATTCCTTCAAAGTATTTTCCAGATAAATCAATCATTTTTTGCATCTATTTTATACAAAACATAACGTAAAATATTTGTAGCAGCTGTATAAAAATCACATTAAACTGGGATTATGTATTTCAATGTTCTGTTTTTTGAATACTTTCTTTCTAGGTAGACAATGTTACTAGCTCAGATAAATCGAGACTCTCAGGGAATGACGGAATTTTCTGGAGGAGGAATGGAGGCCCAGCACGTGACTCTGTGTCTAACAGAAGCTGTAGCTGTGCAAGGTGACCCTTCAGGTTAAAATACCTCTACATTATTATGTCTTTTCTCTTTGAAACTCAGATGAAACACTAAAATTCATGTAGTGTATTCTGAATTAAAAGTCCAACAGGAAACAGTTAACTGAGATTCATTAAATTCACTAATTTAATTCTGGATGTAAATTATTTTTTAATTAAGATAATGGAAGTGTAAATGTGCCAAAAATGTATAAAATCTGACTTTATTCTCTGTGTAGTCTTACTGTTTTATACTTTGTAAATTCGGTTTATATCTAAGTATGTATTAAGCAAGTTGAGTTTTAAAATAGATTAATTACTTGAAATTGGCTTAAACTTGATGTTTCCTGACAGCTTTATGATTTTACGTGATTACAAATTCTCTCCTAAATGTGCATTTTAATCTAAATAGTTTTATGTGTATTAATGACAAGTAGTTTGTACAAAACAAAATTTTCAATACAAATATTTGTGTCATTATTTCACTGTTGGCTCTGATGATTTAATTCATAGTTCTCCTAAAACCTCAGCTTTGTAATTATTTATTCAGTGACATTGTATTTTCTTTTTTAGTTAAGGAAAATAATATTTAGCTGTCATGTTTACAGAGAAAAATGTTGAATATATGATCCTGGTATGTCTCCCAGGCTTAGAAACCAGAAAGCAAGAACTACTTGCTCTTCTTATTTGTCAAAGCACTGTGCTTTGAGGGGATGTAATAATTTATGGAGGTTTTTCAGCTGAGATGTCTAGGGTTCCATGCTGGTTATAGTGAAGGTGAACTTTTTTCCCTGCCTAGATGGTGACAACTTGGAAAACATGGAAGGTGTAAGTTTGCAAGCAGTTACCCTGGCTGATGGCTCCACTGCTTACATACAGCACAATTCTAAAGGTAATTACTGATGGCTACTGAAGTGGTATTTCCCTCTCTTTGCATTGTAAAGGCTGGCAAAATCTGTACAATGTTTCTGAGGTTCCAATTCCAGTGGGAAATTATGGTAATACGATAAAATAAATATTTTGGTTTTGCTACTAATAAGATGCAAAAATGAAATTCAGAACATAAGTCAGACAAAAGCAAAGAGATCTTTATGGTTCAAACCCAGATATCAACATTCTGCCTAACAGATAGGACAGCAGACCTTTTCTGTTTTTTTAATCCCAGAATTTTAAAAGCTCTGTACAGTCACACTGTGCCTTCTATTTACCAAACATTAATTTCTTGTTGATATTTTATTTATATGTTAATCTAGAAAGTATCAACTGTGTATTAAAACTGTGATGTGTTACACAATTAGATTTCTTAAAAATATTCTGTATATTTCAGATGGTAAATTAATGGATGGCCAAGTGATTCAATTAGAAGATGGTTCTGCTGCTTATGTTCAACATGTACCTATGCCTAAAAGCAGTGAGTGCAATAATACAAGAAATATGTTCTAAAATAATGTATTACTGATAAATATTGCTATTAAGTAATTAACAGTCATGATAATAGCTTGATTTCTTATTTCAATGGATGTAATAATGAAGAGATCTCAGGTATTTTGTAATCCTGGGTATTTAGTGTTTAATCTTTCCATCTGAGGGCTCTTTGAAGTCTTGCTGAAGTGCTGTAATTGTTCCTCCTGAGCAGGGGAGAGCCTGCGGCTGGAAGATGGACAGGCGGTTCAGCTGGAAGATGGAACTACAGCATTTATTCATCACACCTCCAAAGGTAACTGTTCTGGCAAGTGGGATTTGTCACCTCAGTGTCCAGCAGAACCTCAGCAGTATTTAACAGGATTCTCTCTAAAAACTATCACCTTAATGGATTCCCAGTGTGAATTACTTGTAGCTTTAACTTCGACATCCCAAAATTGTTGAAATGAGACTTTACTTGGGCCTCATATAATGTAATCAATGTCATAAATGTAATCAAACCCAGTGTATTTCACTGTTTATTTAGCCCAGGATCACATTAAAGTGAGTTTATACCTTTAGACAGTAGGGCAGAAAATGTGACAGCTGACAGTCAAGGATGCAAATGTAGTTATTGCAGATGATAACTTCTGTTTCTGCAGAAGATTACACTAGTCTTGGAAATAGTACCACTTCTCTAGAAAAAATGATCAAGTATATATTTTAAGACTCTTAAACCAGTGTGACAATTACATTTTACAACCAACAATAGTAAGAGGAAAGAATGTAATACAGAAATTTTTTTTGTTAAAAGTCGTTTTATATTTTGTGTTTCTTTTGCATATTTGCATGATTCTCTTCTTAAAATGTGAGATCTGTGAATTCTGAAATGTGAAGTAATGATATCCGTAGAGCTCTTATATTATTTTCATTTTATCATAAGTGGATTTGAAATGGAAAGCATATTTGTATTCCTGATTTCCTTTGTAAGGAAAGCTTGATCAATATAATTTTTTTGTACTTTTTTAAGTGTAGAAATAAAACTATAGGAGGTGTTGTCTTGAAAACAAATTGCTGTGTTATTCACAGTATATCTCATATCCTAGTGGTTATATTTCCCATGTGTTTCGTATGTGTCTGTGACTTCAGGAGACACTTTGTGGAGAGCAGTAGTTTCTCATGTAACACACTGCTGCTCCTTTCAGAATCCTGACACTGTGCAATATCATTCCTCAGACAGTTATGACCAGAGTGCCCTGCAAGCTGTGCAGCTGGAGGATGGAACCACTGCCTACATCCACCACACGGTGCAGATGCCACAGTCAGACACCATTTTGGCCATCCAGGCTGATGGCACAGTGGCAGGACTGCACACAGGAGATGCTGCCATCGACCCTGACACCATCAGTGCTCTGGAGCAATATGCAGCCAAGGTACTCTGCAAGGCATTTTCTCTAGCCATCATGTTATATAAAAAATGCACAAGATATCTGGCAGCACAAGCCAATTGTCATTTAAGAAAGGAAATTGTAACTGGGAGAGTCTCAAACTCCTAGAAGAGAATTGCCATGACAGTGCTTCACTGTCATGAGCAGCTCTGGTGCACAGTTGTTCCATAAAAAGGAGAGAAGATTGAACACTGAACTGGAGTAGGATTTAGAAAACCATTTAGACAGCCAAATGATAATCTTCTCTATCCTATAGCATTGCAAAGGAGTCTTTTGGAAGGGCACTGTTTGCAAAGAAAGACCAAGGTGGATTATTCTTGTTCAGCACTATTGCTGGATTAATTTTTTTTCCTGAATGGGAAGAGTATGGCCTGGTGTACTGAGTAAGGGCAACACATGGTATGAAGTGTAGAAAAGACAATCAGACAGTTCAGAAAAAATATTTTTGTACCATATTTTCAATAGTAAAAATGTAGTAGGATGCACAGAATTCATGTTCACTTTACTGGGCTTCTGTAAAGCATGATGTAAGTATGGTAATGGGTGAAGCAACTTCCATGACTCTGTAGTTAAGCAGTGTCCCAGTTGCTGGATAATTGCCATCAGTGCTTGTATTGCTCTGGAAAAAGAGCAGAATATATTTTACAATCTGTCCTCTTAATGTCACCAAGAGTTGTCAAAATTTGGGAGGCCAGTTAGGATAATTAAATCGCTTATTCACTATTCTTTTTATTATGCTTCTGTCTGTTAGAATTGAGAGATCCTAAGGCAGGCAGTCAAATTGTGTTGTGATGCTGTGCTTTAAACATTTCATAAAATAAAAGGTAATTCAATGTTAGTTGAGCTGTAATCACAAGCTTTTATACATTCTACAGGTACTATTTCATTTAGATTAAATCAATCACAACTTTGCCCTTCTTAACCAACAGCTATATCAATCATAATTTCTGTTTTAAGAAAGTAAAGAAGAAACAGAAGAAATGCAAATAAATTTGCATTTTCATTGTATTTAACTCAATATGGGTTTTTTAATTCTGTAATGTGAATTTGTTTTCTGTAGTGCACTTGTGTGTTTGTTTAGGAAAAATTGTTTTCTTCAAGCTTTCATCTCAGAACCTTATTCTGAATGGTACTGCTGCAACTTTAGGGGACAGTCAGTAGAAGTGAGTTTCCAAGCACTACAACTGGTTTATGGGGGTTTTTTGGTACAAAACCAAATATTAGCTCAATGGTCAGAACCCTGGGTCTCTCCTAAAAGAAGAAATGTGGTTTTGTGATTCTTCTCCATATCCATGCACATTTCATAGTGAGGCAAGATACACTTTTCATAGCTGGTGTTTCCAGCTAAGACACCTTGAGCAAGGTACAGGAATAAATTAAATACACATGGTAAGTATATGATAGGATTTTCTAAAATTTTAAGTAGATCAAAGAAGAGTAGTGACTTGTCATTGGCTGCACCCATTTCAGAACTGGGAAACATCCAGGTGAAATTCACATGTGATGGGTTCAAGAAGAATGAAGATCCTTTTTCAAACAGCTCAAAGTTAAGCACTGCTTGTAGGATATTGTGGACACTAATTTGTCCTTGGATTCAAGGAGTAATTAGATAAATTCATGGAAGAAAAATGTGTCCAAGGCTATTAGGTAGAAACATGTGACTTCTGGTTCAGGAAGTTCATAAACCACAAATTGCTTGGAGGTTGGCAGAATATTATGGGGAATGCATCACTACATGCTTGGCCTGTTTGTTTAGTGCTCTCCAGCATCTGCTGCTGGCTGCTGGTGGAAGTGAAATGCTGCAGTAGTATGGCCTTTAGTTTGACTCAATGTAAATGTTCTTGTGTTTTTATTTGAAGGCAGACTAAATCTTTCTTTAGCATAAAGGAGAGCATTTTAGGAGGAGCTCAAAGATTTGCCCTGGAATCCTTCCAGAATTCTTACAATACTGCAAAAGAGAAGTTTAAAGTTGGGTGTCTTTTTTTCTTTGGTTCTTTTAAGGCTTTTTTTTTTCAACACTTAAAGGGCAAGAAGAGAGAGTGGTGGTTCTTTTTTGTTTCCCTGTCCTATGCAACAGGCAGAAACAAAGATCAGTGGGGTGCCCGGGATCAGTGTAGAATATAAGAGGGTTCATACAAAGAGGTCTGTGGTTGTGTTCGAGGGTCCCAGGATGAGGGAAGAGATGAGAATCTTGACTCCATGTTTCAGAAGGCTGATTTATTACATTATGATATTATATTAAAATGCTATACTAAAACTATACTAAAAAGAATAGAGAGAAAGGATCCATCAGAAAGCTGGAAAGGAAAAGGAAGGAATGATAACAAAAGCTTGTGACTGAGTCCGACGCAGCTAGATCTTTGATTGGTTATTAAGTAGAAACAACTCCCTTGGACTAATCAAAGATGCACCTGTTGGTAAACAATGTCTAGACCACATTCCACAGCCATCAGATAGTTATTGTTTACATTTCTTTTCTGAGGCTTCTCAGCTAGGAGAAAAATCCTAGCAAAGGATTTTCATAAAAATATCATAGTGATGGAGGTCCAAGCAGGCTCCCCAGAAGCTCAGTGGAGTGGTGGAACATGTACATTTTTCCTTGTCCCTCACTTCTCCTTCAGGCAGGAAAGTATCACTTTCCACAACATGCAAAGCACATGCAGACTTCACTTGAGTCCTGTAATTTTGGGCTGAGTCAATGCCACCATCCTCCCAAAGCAAGCAAGGAGAAAAGGTCATTGCTCTCAGTGAATAGGTGATGAAATGGTGAAGAGGTTACAGCACATACTTTCCTTCCATAAGCTGCTTTCCTGTGCCATCTCAGCTGCTGGCAAAGTACAGGAGCTGGCATTTGTGCATGCCTCAACACATGCACACACGTTCTGTTGGCATCATTTGTTTCCAGTAGTTGATCAAGTTCTAATTTCATGTCAGCAGTTCTCTCTACCAACAACAGGAAGTTCAGGATGAAGTAATTCAAGCCTTCTTTCTAGGCAGGTTCTCCCCTCTTCCTTTAAAAGTTCTGAGGGAGAAGGTCCCAAAATAGCTATTGTTGCCTTCTGAAAAAAACACCCATAAATTACCTGCTTTCTGACACTCTTTTCAGTCTTTTTGTAATGTAGATTTGCCTCTGCTTGGGCACTTTCCTCATTACTGTTTTAGCTCAAAGTTCCCAAAAGTAAATTGTCTAATTTAGAGAGGGAAAGTGTGACAGCCTCTTGTAGGATGAGTTCCTGCCAGTCTCCAAGCAAACTGCTGGGGGCTGGTGCTCTGGGCAAGGAGCTTCACGCAACCCCCAGCGATCTCAGGGGCCTGCTGTGGCTCTTGGGAGGGAGGGTTCCTGCCAAACTGCTTTAGAGAAGAATAAAATCACTTAGACTAGGCTTAGGTGCATCAATCTCAGCCTGGAATATAATGGAGGAAGAGAGTATTGTGAATGCCTGTGCTTAATACAGAGACAATTTAGGAATGGGAAGCTATGCAAAGTATACTTTAATTTTTTATATAGTGACCAATAACATGCTGTTCTTTGAGCTGCTGCTTGTCAAAGAGCTTGGGGTGGTTTTTTTAAACTGGGTAATTACATTTTTATTTAAATAAAAAATTCACATTAACATCTAACAGTCTTTCAAATATTTTTATGAGCTCCTTGGAAACAGCAATACTCTTTCTCCTCCTGGAGACTGTCTTTAAAAACAAACCTATGTAGCAATACCAAAGTCCTCACTTAGTTGTAATTGGACTTGTTCAAATGGTGATGTAACACATTGTCTTAGGTATTTTGATTCAAAAAGCAGTTGTGCTGTTTGAAACAAGTACATTCTACTTAACAAGGAGTGAGAGAGATATCTTTATTATAAAAGAAGTAAATGTTTGGATTTTTTGGTTTTTTGTCAGAACTCAGTATTGTTAATTTTATTGATTTATTGTAATACTTTTGTCAGTCTATGAATTTAACATCCTTAGTTCCTGCAGCCTTTCCTAGCATATTATAAACCAACTTTGCTGTGCTCACTTGGCCTGCTCTGTAATGCAAGTGCTGCAAGTGGTGATTTTTGTGTAAGTTCAGTTATTATGGGATAACCATGTTCCCAGAGGGAGCTAGAGAGCTATGAAATAACAAACCCAGGAACTGTCTGTAACCCTCTGTTTCTCAGATGAATAAAAGTAACTGATGTGAATGTTTTTTCACATTTCAACTTTGTTTTTCAGGTGTCCATTGATGGAAATGACAGTGTTAGTAGCACAGGAATTATAGGCGAAAATGAACAAGATAAAAAAATGCAGGTATGTGCTTAATATAAAATAATTAAATATATTTATTTCTTTTGTCTTTTCTGCCCAGCAAGGTGCATGATAGGGAGCTCTGTAGCCATGAACTATGGTTTGCTTCTACCCTTCAGAAGTTGTAGATTTCAAACTATACAGATTATTTTATCTTACTCTGTACAAGATCCAGTCAAAAGAGTTGTAAAAGATCTTCTAATACTTACTGTTGTCTAGGGGGTTTTCCTGTTAAAAGGTAATGAAAAATTATGTTGGATTTCTAAGATTTTTCAAGCCGAGCTGAGTATTTCTTCAGTATGAGTGTAAGTATTTCAGAAGTTCTTTCCAGAGAAGGAGCTGACTTTTGATAGTATTTAAAGCAGAAAAATGCTGTCTCAGTTATTAAATTTCTTCTAGGAGAGACCATTCCAGGCATAGGTCTGGAACTGTTCTCTCTTTAATGACTTATTTTGATTCCACCTGCCCTGTTAGGGTCCCTGACCTTTACAGCAGGTTTTATAAGGAATCAAGAGTGTTGCTCCTAGAGAACTTCCTTAAAGGACAGAAAAATACTTCAATTTCTTCTTCTGGATTATTGTTTGTACACAGAAATGTAATGTTAAGTGTTAAAAGATTAACGTAAAAGTTCAAAGGATAATGGAAAATACAGGTGCAACTTTCTAAGTCTCAAGCTTTTTTCCCAAGAATCCATAATATTATGTAAGGAGAATGGTATTTGGCATTATAATGTATTTTATTAAAGGAAAAGACAAAGAAAATGTATTCTGGGCTTCAAATGTACAACTAAAGTAATACTAAAACCTCTATATCCCCACATGTTCAGGTGGAAAATCAAAAATAGATAAGTCATTGCATTGAGAATGGGGCTTCTCTGGGCAAACCTTTTCTCCTTTTTGCTTAATTTAAGAAATAATAAAGTAGACAAGGGTGAAAAATGTCTTCTTCCAAGTTCAAAATACATCATCTGTGAAAGGAATAACTAGAGCTCACCTCTCACAGTTAGCTCCAATTTTCTATTTTTAATCTTTTGCAAGTTAGATCCCACAATATTTAAAGCTGCAGACACTTCACTTTTGCCTGTGTGGCATGACTGTGGAAGGAGAGAATAACTAATACTTGCATTATTTACTGTATTGGACCACGTTCCAGAAAAGGAAATGAAGAAATTCAGAGGGTTTGCACTTGTAGGCTGGAATAGGGATACAACTCCAATGAAAGGCAAAATTCAAGGAAGACTAAGTGAAAATCTTTGTTGGTTTTACCCGAAGTAAGAGCCTATTAAGCAAAATTACTTGTAATCAGTATCCTCCTAAATATTGATTTTGGCTTCAGTCCCAAAGCAAACTGAATGTGGACGTGGTTTTATCTTATATATGGCAACATATGTTCAATATGGAAATGTGCCAATCTGTGGAGTACTGCATGTTCCAAACAAAACAAGATCTAATATTTCAAAAAGGTAGTGAGGCTTAGTCTCAAATTCTGACCCTTATAAGGTGACTACAATTGGCCTTCAATTGAAGAGGCCAACGGGTATCAGTTATGTATGAAAATAGAAAACATTCTTATATCTTGATTTGAGTAGATACCTACTTGTAACTCATTCTCTATTCATATGTATTAATATATAAAATAGCCTCATATTTAGATGTAGAATTAAATAGGTGTATATTTATAAACTTTTTAAGTCCACAGGGAACAGAACAGATGTCACACTGCTAAGCAGCCACTCAGACTTGCATGTGGTTAGTAAGGTGTTTCAGCAAAGAAAAAAAGCCTAAAACCCTCTTTGTGATTTCTACATGGGAAAACAAAAGACTCTGTGTGCCCAAATGGATATCTCACTATTTCCTTTCAAACCTGTCATACCCATCTGCTCATAATATACACTTGGGTTATATGATTCTGCTTTTATGTGTGCAGTAGAAAAATCTGATCCAAGATCTTTGTTTTTCTCCTGTGTTACGTCTCTGAGATCAGGGTGCAATTGTGATCTCTTAAAAATAGGGGGTTTAAATTCTATTTATTTATTCATTCTGTTTAAAGGTATTTGAAGTACACAGTTCCTCTCAGTAAGTTCCACATTATTGGAAAGGTGCTTCCTCCCCAGTTTTTGTACCCATCTTAATATTGGTAGGATTATGGCTGGTTCTTTCCTTGCAGGTATCAGCACATTACAGAATTGTTTTCATTTTCTTTTCACCTTTGGCACACTTGAGCTTTATGGCAGAACTTAGCAAGTATATTTTTATATTAATATTTTTATATGCTGGAACAACAAAGAAATAGTAGCAGGTTTACTGACAGAAAAAAAAAATTAGTGCTTTAATGCAGGTGCTCAACCTAGTGTTTTTTTCATGATCCTTAATGTATTGAAGGGATTTCTGTGATTCATGCTGTCACAGGTTAAACAATAGTATCAGTAATGGTTTCTTGATCCAGGAGGACCTTTTTCTCTGTGGTTTTCTCTTGTCAGAGGAGATTTTCTGAAGTGATGGAGCTGAACATTTCAGCTGATTAAAAATTTTGTATTGAACTTGGCTTCTTTAGTCTTACAAAAACTCTGAAGGTAACAGTTATTCCATCCTCTCTGAAGAACCTGTAGGAAAGATGTTAGCAGTGAAATTTGTGATGTCTCTGAGGGAGGAAATAAAGGTGTGTGCTGTTGCAGGGAGCTGTGGTGGGAGGGCTCAGATGGCTGAAGGGCTGTGGTGAGGGATCCAGGCTCTTCAAAAGGGCCAGCTGGGGAAGGAGAGCAGGGGAGCTGCCCTTCCAGAGGGAACAGCAGGACTGCACAGGGCTTTGGGATGGGAGAGGGCTCAGGCCAGTGTGGGTGCTGAGGTGGTGACTGTGCCACAAGGTCATGGTCAGGAAGAGGATGAAGCCTTCTCCAGACAAGTGGAGCAAGCCTTGTGTTCACAGGACCACATCCTTGTGGGGAATTTTAACATCCTCAGTATCTGCAGAAGGGCATTGCAGCAGGGCACATGAGGAGCAGTCTGGAGTTCAGGGATGGCAAGGGGCAATCTGAGCAGGGTACTGAGCAAAGGGAGCCACTCTGCAGAGCCTCAGTTGCCAAAAGAATTAGTTGGGAATGTGAACATTGGGAGCACACTTCAGGAGTCTCCATCCTTAGAGATACTCAGAACCCATTTGGATATGGCTGTGAGCAGCCTGCTGCAGCTGACACTGTTTTCTGCTGAGAGTATTGTCTCCTCATCCATCCTGTGAAATGTTCTTTGACAGTTTGGAATAGAATTGGATCTGTAACAAAGGGGAGGTGATTTGAAAGGACAGACTGTATAAAACAGTCTTGATTGCTTTGCACAGAGTTGTATGGAAGTGCTGATGTTTGGGCTTCTGCCTCTGTGTTCTTCACGTTTTCTTCATGTTTTGTGCATGTCAGTGTAGGAAGGAGCCTGTGCAAGGGCTTTCAGGTGCCTCCTGAAGCTGTGCTGTTTATTTTCCTGTTGTCATACCTCAAGGGAGAGTAGAACCTAGCTCACAATGCTCCAATTAGCTAGATCAAAATACATGGGTGGCAGACCAAGTACAAAATGCTTTCCTTCATTTTCAAAAAGTGCTCATTCTAAGGACATTGAATTCTTGTTTGGCCTTTCCATGAACTTGTATTTGAAGGTAGTCTGATTTATAACTAATTTCCCTTAGAAGCAGATCTAACACCTCAGATATAATCTAAGATTTGTTTGTCTACTCATTTGGTCATTTTACCACTGTGATTATGAATAACTTGTCTTTATTTGACTAATTATTGCAAGCTTTTAAATTTGCTAGGTACAAGTAAATATCTTTTACAGTTTCCATTATGATTTTCAGTTATTTATTTTTAGTTTATTTATTGAAGGCTCAGAAATACATGGCATAGCAAAGCAAAGGGAAACAAAAGAAACCTGTCAGAATCAGCTCTGGCTTGATAGCAAAATAAAGTGTGTAACTTTTCAACTTCTCTGATCCCTTTTGGTTGTTCTTTTTTTAGTATGTGGTTGGGGTTTTTTTAAGTTTTTTTTTCTCTTTCACCTAAGATTGTCTTGCAAGGACATGGAACAAGAGTGACTGCAAAATCACAGCAGACTGGAGAGAAAGCCTTTCGCTGTGATTATGATGGCTGTGGAAAACTGTACACAACTGCTCACCATCTTAAGGTGATAAGAAGTAAAATGTGCATTGCTGCTTTGTAGATATGATTTTTTTTAAAGATTATGTGATTAAAAGTAATAGAAATTGAGAGTGAGCCAGTTGCAATGGGGCTGTTTTGTCAGATGTTTATTGGCTTGATTTTACAGAAATTGGTGGTGCTCAGCTGAGTTTACTTAGTGTTCTGGGATGATGTTCAGCTGCTGTGTTGCCAGCATGGTGAGGTTGTTCCTACCAGCAGTGTCACAGAAATTCTGGAATTCAGCATTTGCTTTATCAACTTTACATGTATGCATGATCATGCAAAAATTCCAGGTTTTGAAATATTTCACCATCATGGTACAAAGTGAGACTGTTCAAAACTAATATTCAAAGTGAAAAGATGGCACATCTTTTCTTCACAGATGGCAACTTCTTAATTCTCTTCCTTTTTGTAAACTAGGTGAAGGAATTACTGAAATGGTGAAGGGTATAGGGCTGCTCACATTGCAGCTGAGGCTGGCACACTCCCTTGCTGATGAGGCATCCTGCTCACAGTGCTGCTTTGTCTCTGACCACAGGAGTCACTGAGTGGCTGCCTTTGAGTCACTTGTTAAAATGATGTCCTTGCTGTAGAGCTTTCATGCAATATAAGAGCAACGTTAGAAGCATTCAGTCAAAAATCAGATGGAGTGGGCTCTGAGGCATGTTTACCTCCTGTCTTTAATGTAGTGCTTGATGGCAACTCTGCATGCATTTACAGAAGTGTTTTGTGCCAAACTGACTGGCAGGATCAGGTTAGACCTTGGAAAGAGACATCTTTAGGGAAAATGTTGTTACTATATTTTGTTACTTTTTCATCACTGACATAAACAGACACTTCAGTGTGAATCTTAGTAAGATAAATAAAATATGTTAGCTTTGAGAATGAGCTGTTTCTGTGCTGGAGTAACCATATACAGCATTTCATTAAGTCACTGTATTGGATGTCAACAGGTGCATGAAAGGTCTCACACAGGGGACAGACCATACCAGTGTGAACATCCTGGATGTGGCAAAGCCTTTGCAACAGGTAATCTTGTGCAGACTAGCTCCTCCTGCTTGTTAGTGTTTGTCTGTGAATAAAGTAAGTTTTAATAATGCCTTTTTTAACTGCTGAGTTGGTTGGGACAACTGGAAAAAAAGTCACATTTTCAGCTAGTGCAGCAATAGAAAGGACAGAAGATTTAACTCTTACTGAAGGGGGATGGAGGTGAAGCACTCAACACTTCCCTCACTCTTCATCTGTCATCTACAGTCAAACTAAATGTTACAAACAGGCCTTTCTTAACATTAAACTAACAGCAAAAGTTAAATGAGGTGATAATAGAAAGCTGAACCTGTCGGCTAGGGGCAGATTCCTGATCTCCTGGTCTAAATTTGAAAGGAACTTTGGCAGAAGATGCTGGTTTAAGTGTTCTTTATTGAATTTACATCAGAGTGATATCTGTCATGAAGTGAACTCTCCATTTGTACAGATTACTCTGCTCGTAAATGATGCTCTCCCTGAGATCGAATTTGATTGTGCAAAATGCAATTATGAGGAATGAAACATGGAAGAAAGTGGAAGAAAATAAAACTTGTTTCAAATTTTATTCTTTTACTTGGAATGTAAATTAGTATCATGCTCTGGTTTTTCTATAAGGTATTTTTGAAATAACTTAATCTGATCTAATAAATTTGCTGCAATTGCTTTGAATAGAAACAACCAAAATAAACACTGATGCAAAAAGTCAAAAGAGAAACAACCACACTTTTAAGGGGCTGCACCCAAGTTCAATTGCTTAGTGTTTGTAAAGGGATTTCAAAACTATGTAATTAAATACTCTCTTCCTTTGCAACACACTGATGTATGGCTAAAAACAGCTGTCTGTTTATAAATACTGTATTTTTGGTCAGAGCCATAGTACTATTGTAGTTCAACAATCCTTGCCTTGGACAAAGTTCACTTTAAGTACTGAGTAGTCTTTGGTTTAAATGTTAAGAACTCTCCTGGGCTGGGTCATGAAATTGAGTTTATTTCAGATATAAATGTGAATTAATGCTCAGCTTGGTTAACATGCTTCATGCTTTTAAAAACATCAAGAACAGGAATTTCAGCTGTTTTGGGGAGAACTAACTGTTCTCCCTGAAATAAATTAAAGCAGATTTTTCTTACAGACTTAAAGCAGTCATTTTCTTACAGACTTTATTTTGTACAAATTTATACATCACTTGTGGATACAAGAGAAATTCAGGTTCATTTTCTAAAATGGCTGTTTCAGGCTTCTTTAGTCATTATCCTTTCAGGGAAGTGCTGAAACGAAATTTTTGGTTAAATGCTCATTGCAAAATAATTTATAGAGGGCCTGATCCATAGTTCACTTCAGACTGGTAAAGTTTTTGATGATGGTGAGTTCCTAAAAGTAATCTTAAAGAGAATGAGTGTCTATGACTGCTCTTAGTTAACACCAATATCTTGTATATGTATCACACATACAACCATATCTTAGTTGTATATGTGATTTTACTGCTGACTTTGTTAGTGGTTATTGCTTTTCCTGTGAGCAAATAATTAAATGTCATTTTGATGACATTTAGTAGTGGGAAGAGGTAAAAACTAGATGGAATGCACAGCATATGGCTTCTTCAGAAGGCAGAATAAATATTTGTCCACGTAATTGCAGTTTATCCTTCTGAAGGGAAGGATAAGAATTATGGAAATAAATCAAATAATAAAAAAAAATCAAATAATTTCTAAACTGTTATCTAGAGTTCTGGTGCTCTGTAGGGTAGAATGAAGAGCTTGCAAAGAATGAAAGAGTAAATTTGCCTCATGAACACTGCTGAGTGGAACAGCAAGCCCAGGTGTTGCTGGTGACGGGTGCTGGTACCCTGTGTTGTGCTGATGCCTGCTCCCCTGCTCTGTGCTCCCAGGGTACGGGTTGAAAAGCCACGTGCGCACACACACTGGGGAGAAGCCCTATCGCTGCACCGAGGAGAACTGCACCAAATCCTTCAAGACTTCTGGAGACCTGCAGAAGCACATTCGGACCCACACAGGTACTGGCAGCACACGCTGTTGTTAATTCACCTCGGTGGATTTTTAGTTTTTTTCTCTTTGCTCATTCTGTGACTTTATACTGACAAAATCAGCCTGTGTGTATTCTCTTTCTGAAGCCCAGTGAGTTCAGCCTCATTTCAGCATGGTAAGCATTAAATCCAGCATGCTTTTCTTGGAAAAGGTGCTAAAGCATTCACACTGCTATTGCAAATGCACTAACTTTTAGCAGTGCCTCACTTACATTGTCACTGAGTCACTCGTTGCCTTTACAGCTTCATCTGCAGCTGTAACAGAAAAGGAACTTTTCCTCAGTAATATGTCTTGCCTTTTAGAAATGGCTTCAGTGTTCCTCAGTTTTGGTGCTTTAATATAACTCACATGCTAGCTTTATGAAGGTTGATATTCTGAGCTTGTTATCCTCATTTCCCATCTCTTCATCCAGCAGAAAAACCAAAATGTCATAGAAAACCAACAGCTTCTAAAACTAAACAAAAAATAAAACCTTACATTTTGTCTAAAAACATTAAATTGAAAGCCAAACCACAAATTCTAGACAGCACACTACATTCTGGAAAACTCTGTGTATGCACACACATGTAAACAAGATTGCACAATGACTCCTTTGTGCCTGTGATCTTCAAGAAAAACAACCCCTAAATGTAGGAAGGACAATCTTGCTGACCTGTTCCATTAAATATATTTATGTCTCTGCTAGAACACTGATGAGCTTTTCCACTCAACTGTCTGAATCTTTGTGAGTCAAGAAGAAACAATAAGAAGTAGGGGTTTGGATTTTTTTTCAAATTAAAAATATCATATGGAGGGTGGGGTGTAAATATAGGCAATAAAAATTGGGAAAACTCAGGATTACATTAAGATATTCCTGCCTTTCTTGGACTTCCATACACAAATAAGATTCTGTTTGGATTAGTGCTATCTTGATTTTTAAACATCATTTTTGTGAACACATATCAGCTCTAGAAGAGGATGCACTGCATCAAGTACATACTATGAACTGAAAGGTTTCTGTAGCACAGACAGCTTTATTAGCTGTGAACTGTTTTCTTTCTTTTTTTATGGCCACAGAAGGTGTGTAGTAATTTAATCTCCGTTTAGCAGTTGAGACAAAAGACTTGAGCCAGCCTTATGTAACCTACCCACCTGAACAATTTGAGTAATAGAATCATAATCTCCCAGCAGACCAGGGGCCAGAGGTGTCTCATTTCAGATTTATGAGTTTCCAGGAAGATAAAGAATGAGAGGAAGAGGGCAGCACCAGCTTTGTGCAGGTGGATGGAGCAGCGTGCGCTCATGCCTTGTGCAAGCTGCAGCAGGCAGGTCTGGGCTCTGCCACTCCCTCCCACGGCTCAGAAACCTTTCCCTTCTTTAGAAGGTACATCAGGGTCAGCACTTTCTTCACTTTCTGCCTGTTTTAACCAGAAGTTTTAACCCCCTCTTGGAGTAGAGTCAAGTCTTGCTTTCAGTGCCATCAACTGCTTGCCTTGGCTTTCTCCATGGTCTCCCCAGACACGCAGCTCTGGCATCAGGAAAGCTGCTGTGGATGGTGCTTGTGCTGCAGTGGGGTAGAGCCTCAAGCCTTTACATCTCTAGACTTGGAATTCGCTGTCACCTGGAAACAGGTCGCTTTGCTAGGAAGCACATTAGAATTTGAAAAGGCCCCTCCAGGGACCGGTGTGGTGACATTCCTGCGGGCATTGTTTCAGAGCGATGTGTCCCGGTTTCTGGAGCAGGGTCTGTTGCTGGGTGGGGCTGGCTCTGCAGCCCTGCTGCTTTGGGATGTGTTTGGGGTCCTGGCTGAAGCTAGGATTAGGGGAGCCATGGTAACACAACACTGAGGTGTACGGGGAATACACACTGCCTTGGCAGGAAGATGGAAATCCTTCCCAAAACAGCTGCCCGAAGGAGTGAATAGTAGTTTCCTCTGCCAAGGAGCGAACTGCTTTGGAGTTTCGTGGTATTACTGTCTATCAGGACTTGTTCTTTTATTTTTAATAATCTACAATTGTATCTGTAGTAGTGTTCTGCTCTTTGGTAAGCAGCACAGTGTGTGTGGAATGTACTTGGCTCTGGAAGTGGGAAATTACCCCAGGACATCCTGTCAGTGGCTGGAATGTGTCCAAATTTAACCCCCCCTTGCTCTTCTTCTCTGTGTGCTTTGGTAGATCTGAAAGGTCAGGGTTGTTGGAGTGTTATTGGTTGGTCTTGTCTGCTATTCACAGTGAAATGCTTTGGTGCAGTGATGTGTGTTACTGTGCTTAAACTTATGTTAGACAAAAAGACTTACTCTAAAAGAACCTGTATTTGTGATTTGCTTTGGTCTGGGGGTTTGAAACTTGAGTTTCATGGCTGCTTCTCTTTAGAAAGTTTGTTCTTTTTTAAGGTTAAGTGCTTTCAATAACAAGTTTTACTAATCCGTGTTTATCCTGGTTATATGTTAAACCATGGAGGTATTTTTTTTCATTTGAAGAATTAACAATTGACAAATGTCAGTGGTATGATACACTTGGTTTGGATCATATATGTATGAATTAGGGAGGTTGTTAAATAGTTGCTAGATTATGGATAGTGTGCGAGCTAATTCAAGCAACTGAGTCTGTTCTATACATGTTAAAGTATTAATCTAAATGCTTCATAAGTTAGCTTACAGACTGTATGATTTTCCTGAATATTTTTCATTTTGGCTAAACTAGAATACTTGACAATGACGTGTTCATGGTATTTCTGACTGAGGATCTCACTGATAAAATTAGGTAGCTTTAGGTTCCTAAATTCATGTCTAAGTGTATTTTAGGATTTTCATTCTTTTGTAACCTTTCCGTGTGCACCTTTTCTTGTCTTCTTTTTCAGGTGAAAGGCCTTTTAAGTGTCCCTTTGAAGGATGTGGCAGGTCATTCACAACATCTAACATTAGAAAGGTTCACATCAGGACACACACAGGCGAAAGGCCTTATTACTGTACAGAGCCAGGATGTGGGAGAGCTTTTGCCAGTGCAACTAATTATAAGAATCATGTGAGAATACACACAGGTATATGAGTGATTTATTGCATTTTGAAGTGGAATCTGCTGGCGGGAGGCTGTGTCGTTCTCTTTGTGAGCAATGTTTTGGTGTGTTGTAATTGGGTATAGTCATGTTTCTATGACTGGGCTTGGTAATTCTGTTTGGGCCTCCTCTCCCCTCAGCTGAGGATGTTTAAGCAGTTAGATTTCCTACCTTGCTGTCAAGGCAGAATAATTTTGGTTTGGCTACAAAGTTTTTTTAAACTGGGCATTGGGCTGAATCCTTAATATGATTCTCGGCTTGCCTCCCTTGTGAGCTATTTCTTAAATAAATACCAGTAAAGGACAAGTATGAGCTTAACTTTGGCTCACTGTTATGAGTCACCCTTTCATCACAGCTGTATTTTCCTTGCTGCTGGAACTGTAGTCAAAACTTCCTTTTTTATAGACTAGATGTGAAAATACTTATCTAGTGAGCAGAATACTTATTTAGTGAGCAGAAATAATAAGCACAAACTTGAAGATTCTAAAATGTAAAAGCCAGTCATAGCCATATCAGCTTGGCAGCATTATGTATGTTATAGAAACACAGACAAGCTTCATGGTGTAACGTTTGATATCTAGTTTATATTTTCAGTTTACGATGGAATTTGGACACTTGTTCCATTGATTTTTAAATGAAAGGTTTTTTTATATGAAACCATAATTGTTTATACACATGCTTCCTATGGATTTCCTCAGAGCTTTCAATACTCAAAAGTGATACTAGTCAATCAATGTATCTGATCATTGAGGAAAACTGTGGGGCTTCCAGTAATAAAATAACAGAATTCTAAGTACAATGACAAACTGAAATTGCAGTTTTCAGCCTGTATCATTCTGCCTTTATCAGAAGGATGTTTTAGATGGAATGATGGGGAGAAAAATGGGCCAAATTTACTGGCAGTCATTTTTCAAGAGACAGTAAGATGCTGCATTGATAAACTTGTGAGATTGAGCTTTTCTGCTGCCTTTGAAATTCAGGAATGGTTGGCAATGAAGGTTTGTCCCTAAATATCATTTGCTGTGATATTTTTTCCTGTGCATCCTGAACAAAGTTCTCTTTCTACCTTTTGTTGTGCCGTGCAGGGGAGAAGCCCTATGTGTGTACAGTTCCTGGCTGTGACAAACGTTTCACAGAGTATTCCAGTTTATACAAACATCATGTTGTACATACTCATTCCAAACCCTACAACTGCAATCACTGCGGGAAGACCTACAAGCAGATCTCTACCCTTGCTATGCACAAACGGACAGCGCACAACGACACTGAGCCCATTGAGGAAGAACAAGAGGCTTTCTTTGAGCCCCCTCCAGGTTAGAATTGCAGCCTTTGAGTCTCTAGTTGTTAAAAAACAAACAAACAAAAGTGGTTGGTATTTTGCTGGGGGATTTTGATAGCCAAGGAAATGAAAACATAGATAAAAAGTACTTAAAGATTTCTTAATTAGATATCTTAATTTCTCTGTAAGACTTTTTAGAGTGATAGGCAACTTGTAAACAGAAATTGCATGGTAATTGGCCAGATAATAAACTCATTTATAGCAGTCATGGGGTTAAGAGAGAAATTTGAGTTGCAGTCTCAGTAAACCTGCTAAAAATATGAATGTGGGGAAGGGACCAGTGAGACTCTAAGCTGATTACAATTTACCGGACTTTTGTTACAGATTTTTCAAAGACTGTGTATATATGTAACACCATGGCTGGTGACAATCTTTTGTGTGGGAGTAAAGGCTGTGCCTTGAGAAAAAAAATCTGTTTTTGCAGTACGGTGATACAGGCTGGTTTGCTGTGGTTTAGAGCAGTTTTGTAAACTGTCCTAGAGGCAGAGATGAAAAGGAGCTGCTGTGCTGCAGTACTCTGCAGAGTTTGCTGCTCGTGGTATCATGAGTATTGAATCCTATGAGTGTAAAGGATCAGACTGAAGGAAATACTGTGATAGGACAAACAACTTGTCAAATTGTGATTTTTGGATGTGCCTGAAGATCGGAAATATCTGCACAAACTGTTTTGGTTAGCAAAGTTGTTTTGCTACATGTTTGTGGGAAACTGCACTGAATGCCTCAAGCAGACTTACTATAGCTTAATTCCTTCTTTTAAAGAAATGATAACATTTATTTGCTGAGGTTAAACATTTATCAAGATAATGAATTTACTTAAATCTTCACACAAAGGCATGTCACTATGTTCTTCTGTATGTTTGTTAATTAATAACTTAAAAAAAAATCCAGCTGTGTTTGCATGGAGTCCCTTGAATGCAGAGGTTAACATTTAATAAATTAGAAATGTTTATCACATGCTAATATTTGCTTACAAACTAAATGTATATGTAGTATTTATGTGTCTTTAAACTCATTGCTAGAAGATTATACCCCGTGTTCCCAAAATAAGACTTTCTTACTTGCTTCTGGTATCTTTCCTCCTTTTATTTTTCTCATCTTTCCACTAAATTTTTCTGTTGGAGTGTTTAAAACCTTCAGGCAAGACTGGGACTTAATCCCTGTCATTTACTCTCCTGGGAGCATTTAGAGTATGAAAAGTATCCTATGCCTTCTTTGTGTCCAATAGGTCAAGGTGAAGATGTGCTCAAAGGCTCCCAGATCACCTACGTGACAGGTGTAGAGGGAGAAGATGTCATTTCTGCACAGGTTGCTACAGTTACTCAGTCAGGATTAGGCCAACAAGTAGCACTAATATCCCAGGATGGAACCCAGCATGTGAGTATCTGCAGTGTCACCTGCTGACAAAACCATGCCAAGAATTGAGGCACGGGTTGGTGGCTGCTCCATGGGCTCTCTGAAATCACACAGGATTCTGGATAAATGTTGGTGGAAAGCAGCTTCTTTGGAGCTGTGTCAGGATATCTTAGGGCTGTGCCTCCTGTGGAATACCTAAGGGAAACCACATATTCTGACACATGAAACTGTATTAATACAAAGTTAGGGGACTGGTATATCCTTGTTAATCTTTGTCACTTTGAAAAGGGCTGTTTAAACAACTGTTGTATATACAGCCTGTTTCTGAGGTTTCCCACAGTTCCCAGATTATGCTGTTAAAACTGATGGGCATCTTCACTGTCTTGACTGCCCACACTCTGGGGGGTTGAGGGGTGGGAAGTCTTTTCAGTCCAGGTGCTTCCTTCACAAGCAGTTTGGTTGGTAGTGTGCAGTTTCTAACATAAACGAAAGGATAAGGAATCCTTTGATACTATTTTCCACTGGAACATTCCAATGGCTGTCTTTTTTTAAGGTTTTCCATGGATATATATTTTTAAGGATTTCATATGAAATTTCTTTGGAAGGGGATTCCAACACAACTCTGTTGATTCACTGTGGCAGTATATTGTAGGCTTTTGGGGGAAAAATTTCTATATCAGCTGGCAGGGCAACTGAAATACCAGTAACATATGAAAGATATATTCTGAATTCAGACTGAAATAAAATATCCAAGGGGCCTGTTTTATTGCCAGGACATTGGAAATTGCAGCAATACTAAGTAACTGGCATTTTTGCCCTTTTAAATGAAGGCCTGCAGAAGCCTTGACACAGAATTCTTACACATTTAAATTGTCTTTCAGCTTGACTTCAGTTCTGGGATTTATTACTTTGTAAATCAGACATCAAATTATGTATCTGATGCCCTAATGCATTTATACTGGAGACATCAGTAATTTATATCATTAATTTGTTATGAATTGTTTGTTTGTGGCTTAAATTCTAAGCCATCATAGGGCTCTTTTAGTATTTACATCAAGATCAAAGTATGTCAGGTGGTACAACCTTAAATCCCATTGACCTCTGTGGAAGACACATGCATAGATAATCTGTTATGCTGTTATTTGGGATGCACTCTGATTAACGTGGAGTTGTAGGCTCTGGGATTAGATATGCCACCCTCGTACTATGAGAGCCATATTGTTTTCTGTGAACAGGTAAGTGTGTCTGGAAGGTCGCGAGCTGTTGGATGCCAGCCGGTGAGGCAGATGGAGTGAGGGCTGTGGCTGGAGCAGCGCTCAGCCCCTGCCTTGCCTCAGGAGCTCTGTGTGTTGCAGGTGAACATATCGCAGGCAGACATGCAGGCCATCGGCAACACCATCACCATGGTGACACAAGATGGCACCACCATCACAGTCCCTGCCCACGACGCCGTCATCTCCTCGGCCGGAACGCACTCGGTGGCCATGGTCACTGCAGAGGGCACCGAGGGACAGCAGGTGAGACTGCCCTGCACAGCTGCCTCGTGTCCCTGAGGAGCCGTGGCACATGGGCCCTGAGCCATCGCGCTCCTGGCACTGATGTAGATTAGCTCAGCAGTTTCCAGCACCTGCCCAGCACATTCCCCTCCTAAGTGCCTGATGTGTTCTACCCAGGGCTGTACATCAGCAGGTGGAATGTTATAAAAACAAGTGGGCACCAAGAAAAAAAATCTGAGGTACCAGTCCAATGATTCATTTAGGTGTCTGTAAAATAACACCTAGAAATGCCAAGCTTTTTCCCCAAAGTCACACAGTAAATGTGTGACAGAACTAAGTATAGAATCCAGTATGAACTGTCATTTCATTGGTTCATATTGTGGGACTGTAATTTATTTGGCAGATGGGAAACATTTGTGTAAGTCTAAATCTGTGGGTTGTTTTTTAATGTACAGATAAAACAGCTAACTTTTTAGTACTAAAAGGATGTTATCTTTAAGTTAACGTTCATTGTACTGTTCTAAAATTGCACTACATGAAAATGAAGATAGTTGTTAATCTCTGTGTAGATAATCACAGGTCTGTAGGTGCATTACTGAATTGCTGCAGTCCTGAGGATATTTGTATTTTAAGAACTAGTAGATAATTTGGAGAACACAATTATGGCGACTTTTCTCTTGCACACAATACAATTATGCTCATGGGTGATCCCAGCCTTAACTGTAACTGTGAAGGCAGTGGTGGTAGGAGGTAAGGAGCAGGAACAGATCTGCCAGGCAGGTGATTGTGTCCCTTTGTCCTGAAGGTTGCAATTGTGGCCCAAGACCTAGCAGCGTTTCACAGTGCCTCCTCAGAAATGGGACACCAGCAGCACGGACACCATCTAGTGACTACAGAAACTAGACCTGTCACATTGTTGGCTACATCCAATGGGACACAAATTGCAGTACAGGTAAGATGGGGATACATGATTTTTTGGAGCGTTTCTTCTAGAGCTAGAAACTACCTAGTCAGATAACAAAATTATTTGAATAAGTTTGGTTTCTCTGAAAAGAAGATAGCCCACAACTGTGTGATCTCGTATTTAAAGTGACATACAGGGTTAGGAAGAGGAATAAACAGCATCTGATTTTCCAAATCTACTTGCAGAACTCTGAAAAAAGAGGAAGGCTGGGGGAGGTCCAAACTTCAGGTCAATCAAGTAGTTAATGGACTCAGGTTTTCAGTGAAAAAGTGCTTTTGTTCATCCTTCAGCTTTACATACAGGATTGACACATATAAAGCCAAACTCTCAAGGATAAATTGCTATGAACTTACAAAATTAGAAAATTTTTTATTTGAACCTCGAAATGCTAATAGCAAAGTAGTGCAAACAGTTATATAGAAATTAATAATCAGAAATCTCTGGAAATAGTGACCTTCTGTTATGTGCCAAACCTGCACAGTACAAACAGTCTCTGTAAATAGTTCCTCACATTGTTCAAACACTGTCAGGAAAAGGTAATTTCTATGTATGAAAGAGCTCTTAAGAGCTCAGATTGAAAGGAGTAGTATTAATATCCTCAAGCAGAAACAAGAGATTGTTATTTTACCCTTTGTTAAATGGAAAGTAGCAAGTCAGATGCTGTTGAAAGTTGAGAAGCTCTGAATTCTGAACTCCTCTCTTTTCAGCTAAGTTGGCACTAATCAAAACTGCCTGTAAGAGAAACCATGTCAGAAGGCAATTTTTGCATGAGAGCAAGAAAAAAAGTAGCTCAAAGGGTCCTTTGAATGAAAGGAAAACAGGCACTCTGCACAAGTCCCTCTTCTGTTACCAGCAATGGAGCAATAACTTAAGTCTCTTTACATTAATTAGACTTAAAACACACAAATAGAAGAGAGAGATTTTTGAATTAAAATACTATTGATTATTCCTGAGGGTTTAATTGGCTTTTCTCTTGTACTTCAATACTAACAAATTAATCCATTTGGTTTCTAAGTACTGGTAAAGCCAGGAGCCTGATAGTTCTATTGACATCCTAACGAGGTGAAAACAGAGGTCTTGATTTGAGTGGATCCAGAATGTAATATGCAATGACTGTAAAAATAACAAGTGATACTTAGAATTGTCCCATTGAACCAAAACAATTGGGTTTTACCTTTCACACTCCTTTATGTATTTCTTCTGAGTCAGTAGGTAATGGCCAGCTTTACAGGCCGAGGTTTTCTTCAGTGTTCCCATGAGCATATTATCAAACTCCATAGATTCCTTCCCAAAATTGTGTCAAGGTGTATTTATTCAGGGTTGGTTATCTTAGTACCAGATAATTTCCTCTCTAAACTAACTGTAGAATCAGTGTCATCACACCAGCTTTTTATGCAGTTGGTATCCTGCAATAAATGTACACTTCTTCTATAAATGAATGTCATGTGGTGTTCCAAAGAACTGACTTTCTGTTAAGAGAGTTAAGAAAAATGAAGATGTTTGTTTGCTTTACCAGTGATAAAATGTAATGCAACAGCCACTGTGACTTCTGTGCCTGGTCTGAACTTTGTAATATCTGCCAAGTAAGATATCACCTACTAGGTGGGTCATGAAGTGTGTTTATCCTGCAGCAGTTCTTTGAAGCACATGTATTTGGTGGTTACATAGGAACGCAGCGTCATCTCCTATCAGCAGTTATCTTAATTGTCATGCTGATTAGATAGCTCCTGGTATATATGATCATCCAGGAGAGGTGTGACAATACTGATCACACTTATTTGGGCTGAGGTGTTGTTTGGTATCTAGATTTTTTTTTGATGCATTTATTATCTAAGTTTAATGTTTTGGATTTCTTTCTGTTTAAATGTGTTTGTTTCAGCTTGGAGAACAACAGTCTCTGGAAGAAGCCATTAGAATAGCCTCCAGAATACAACAGGGGGAAACACCAGGGATTGATGATTAACTTGTAAAACTGCTACCAGAACAATAGAGTGAAAGGTATTTTATTTTCAACCAACAAAGGTCCATGCCAGCAACAGCCCATACAAACTTTGAAGTCCCCCACTCACTGATACTGTGTACACATTTTATGCAAGAGTGAAGAACATTTTCTAAGTTTTGTGTACATAACCCTTGGAATGGACTGACATCATCTACTTCCAACCGTTGCATTCAGGAATATGAAATTAGGATTATATAGTAAACTTCCTTGTTATCCTTTCATCAGATTTCAGACTGGTCTACAAGCAAGTAAAAAATAGAAGTATTGGAGTGAATTTTTAATGTCATGTACAAATAATGAAGGCATTACTGAAGATTTCAGCTGTTTAAATAACCATTTCAGGAACCCTTACAAGTAATAAAGGCAACAAAGCCTTTTAAAATTGCATTCCATTAATGGAAAAGTCTTGGATTTTGAGCCTACTACTGTAAATCTTCGTATTTTGATTTGTTTCATACAGATTTGAATACTCTTTAGATTATCTACCCCATCTCATTCATTGTAAATACAGACTGTTAATGCTGGAAGTGCTAATTATATTATCTTTAAATTGGATTATGTACAAAGAACTGGTTGTTGAATATTAAAGAAAGTAAATCTAATGATTTTGTTTCTTTACATATTTTACTTAAGATGTTACTCTCAGATTATTATGCAATAAAATATAGCAAGATTGTATTGTTTAGATAGGATGATATTGTCATGTGACATACTGTTTTACTTCTTACTGAGACTGAAGTTCAAATTATTTATTTACGGCCTTGTATAAATTTTTTCAAAGTTTATTTATCATAAACTTCATTTTTTGGCATTAATTTTGACCGTGATCCACTATAGTGTATTAAGCAAATACTGGTAATAGTTATCTCAGACATTCTGAAACACTACAAGAGTGGTTTTCACTAGAAGGTGAAGTTACCCATTTTCAAGTGAACTGTTTTCAAATGGTGCATTTGCAGCAAAAGTACAAGTACTAATAGTTTATTTTCGACAGTTCTGAGTGCCTGCTGCTGCCATTCAGTACCTAGGATGTGCTTGATAATCAGTGCTTTTGAAAATCAGGACACAAGTTACTAGAAAAAAGGGATTAATGATGATGTAAGTACAATGCTCCTCTCCAACTATCATTCTGTAAAGGAAAAAATCCATTGTAGATATGTCTAACATATACAGCAAAATGTAACTTTCAATTTTTTTTATATGAAGAAGTGTTTTTACTCTTGTCTTGTTAGCAAGCTGGTTAAGCAAGTTAAAAATTTTTGGCTTCCTGTAAGATTCAGTGCTTATTTTAGATTAGTGTCAAGAGCACTTCTGAAACTGAAGCCTCACCTTTAGCTTTCTCAAGGGAAGGATTGAACATCCTCTGGACAAAATATTTATTAAGGAATCCCAAGTATTATGAGGTGCACATCCTACATAAAAAAATAAAGTCCATAACTAAGTACCTTGAGGTATTTGACCTCAGAAAGGCCAAGTTTCAATAGAATGAGCCAGTTTATTGTGAATTACTGTATCAGTGTGGGTTGCAGCCTTTTATGTTTTCTGCCCAGAAGCAGTGAGAGAATACAGTACTGTGGGATAGATGGGGACACAGCAAAGGCCATTCTCTGCATAAATTACAAAGTGAAACTTGGAAACCTATAGGTTGTCTGTAACTTTTGTATAGGATTGAGGTTGCTTGCTCACTTAGGTGCCAGTTTTTCTGAAATGTTGTAAATCTTGATATCCCATGGAGATAAATGTACTATGCAAGGAGGATTAATTGCCTGTCAACTAGATCAGTTTCTTAGTACTTATCACCTTTTAGAAATTAAAGTTGTATCATTTGATGTGAATGTTCAAGGTTTTTTTTTTTCTTGAATTTCATTGCTAATAGTTTCTGGAAATGGTGGCTGGAACGGTGGCTTTGACTTAGCAAAGAAATAACTTCAGTTCTTACTTCTTCTCATTTCCCAGGACATTTCCTGACCACTGTACAAATGTGAGTATTCTTTCTCTTTCATCCAAGCAAGTTTGCTGCAAGGTGTCATTCACAACAGGCTCAGTCAGGAAAACTGTAGTGTTTTAAAATTTATTTCTGTGACTGTTACCTTACCAGTTACTCTTGCAAAACTCCCAAGTCAAAGGTGGATGCTTCCATGTTTTGCTAGCTCCCTCGACATAAATAAGGTAGATGGCTTAGACTGCTTAGTGCTTAAAGAAAAGCTGAGGTGATTATGTGTGCCTTAGCTGCAAGGCCTGCCTTCACAACAGACCCTGGGGATTTTTCCCTCCTGCTTCCATTCAGCCACCAGTGGAAGGAGCTGTTTTGGCAGCTGATGCTGTGTGTTGGCATTGGAAGGTCCTGCAGTGGAGTTTAGACAAGATCGGGTTAGATAGGTAGGAAAATGGGCAAAAATTATTTCAGGGGAGGAAGCACAGAGTATGACAGGACTGGGTGTTTGGCAGTGGGAATCTCTATCATTTACCCACAGATTCTACCCCTCTTTGGAAAGCTGTCTCCAAGGGAATGCTTTGGCACACAAGAAAGAAGCAGTTTGTAAAAGATGAGCCCTGTAAAGTAAATCAGCTCAGTGTATCACTGCCTCTTGCAGACTGACTCCCACATTTCCTGTCACGATTTTTCTCTTGTATTTCAATTCCGGTCTGTACCAATTCTCCCTAAGAAGGAATAAGCCCAAAGTCTTTCCAGACCTCACAGTCACCTTTTCCCTTTTAAATATTTATCCAAATTTTCCCAATGATGGCCTTTGCTTTACTGTAGTGTAGTGCCCCTTCTGATAGTAAAGGAGGTGATTATTTTGGGTGCTGCAGGTTGTGCCAGACACACTCTGCATAACAAGAGGACGGCTTTTACCCTGAAGGGCTAATGGCTCTCATAAGAGCAAATCCTGCTGCAAACAGCCTTCATCCCTGCTGCAAACAGCCTTCATCCCTGCTGCTGTGATTGAGCCAGCTCAGCTGACCGACACCGCAGGTCTGCTGTGAGACGGGCACGTGGTGTCTGCCCAGCACCAGGGCAGGCCGGGCTCCGGGGCGGATAAACACCGCCTGAGCTGGCAGAAATGGGCTTTGCTCTGCTTCCTGACCCTCAGCCTCAAATACTGCCCGAACTCGTCCCACTGCCCGCCCTGGGTTCTGCAGGGATGGTGCTGGAGCAGGGAAATCCCTGTGCTCTGCCCAGTGCACTCAGGGAGCCTTCCCCAGGGAAGTGTGGAGTAAGATCTGCTTGAAAATGTTTCTGAATCAGGCAACTCCAGCTCTACAGCTGGTGAGATTTGTCAGACTCTACACCTTAAGCTGACCAAGATGCAGACGTGCCCCATAACAAACTGCTTTGTTCACTCAGAGTTTGTTTTTGAATGAAAACAAATTTTCTGTGTAATTTTCAAACACCACAGGTGAAATTTCATTAATATCTGGGTGGCATGCAAACTGATTTTCTTATGCAGTAAGGTTTTGAGAGACTGGAAATGACAGGGAACTTGTGTCCTGTTCAGCTATTAACTTAGAGTTGTTTGAAGCTTTAAAAAATGGATTTATTCAGCAGACATCATTTTTGTCTTGAAAAAATGGAAATTGCCTTGTCTTTGCAAATGCATAAAATCATACTCCAGCCCCTTGTTCATAACAAGGTACTCCTACTTTTTTTTATTTGCAAAGTATATATTTGAGCACCATTTTCCCAAAAGTATCCTGTATTCTGATGCATAAAATCAAACTCCAGCCCCTTGTTCATAATAAGGTACTCCTACTTTTTTATTTGCAAAGAATATATTTGAGCACCATTTTCCCAAAAGTATCCTGTATTCTATGGATAAAAACCTTCTAAAGCATAGACACCTATGACAACAAAACAAAAATCAAGAGCCATTTTCAGTTCTTTTGTTGGAGGTAGTAAACTGCACTCAAAGTGAGGCAGAGAAGCAAGCATTTTTCCTTGTTGTCTTATGTGTATTGTGAAATGTCCCATCAGTCTGGCATTCCTTTGATTCTGTTTTTCATTCTGCTGGTGGAGTTCACTTGGCCAGAGGAAAATCCAACAATCTCATTAGGCCATCACCATTAGCACTGTTGACACCTCACCCTATCAGGAAGAGGTGATACCAGACTTTCTAACTGAGGGTTATATTCAAAGCAGACTTTAATTATCCCAATAAACATAGAAGCTTATATCAATTATCCCAGTAAACATAGAAGCCTGTATCAACAAGTGAGCACTTGGTCCTACACGGTCTTTGTATTTATCTCTGCTGGAAATGTGACCCCCTTAAATCCAATCCATCTCAGGTTCTGAAACAATAAGAGATTTTCTTTGGGTTATTACTGTTCTGTTTAATTATTTGCAGCATTTTTCTCAAAGGAGTGACAAACCATTTACACTTTCAAGGCTCAAGTTACTGTGTGGAACTTTTCCTGTAAGTAAAAAGTATCTTGTGGTTGTGGAAACCCCCAGTATTTTACCCTTTCTTTTTTTAAATGACGAACCATTTACACTTTCAAGGCACAAGTTACTGTGTGGGACTTTTCCTGTAAGTAAAAAGTATCTTATGTGGTTGTGGAAACCCCCAGTATTTTACCCCTTTCTTTTTTTAAATGCATTATCAGCCTTTGGGTTGATTGATTGCTGCTTTTTACTTATTTTTCAAGAGACTTTTGGACTCCCCATCGTGTTACTGCTTGGTTCTGTAGGATTTGCTGAGAGGTTCCTGAACAGGCGGCTTAGTGAGGCAAGACAAGGGAAAGAGGCTGACTTTCCAACACCTGGCAGGTCTGCTGCCATAACAGAAACTACCCACATGGATGTAAAAAGCTCCTGGAGATACAACAATGGTCCAAACTACATCTCCAGTGGGTTTTTTTTTTTCCCCTGGAGTAGGGCTAATTCAGATTCAAATATAGGTTGTAATGACTGAAAAATCAGAAAGTGCAAGAAATGGTTTATGGGACAGATGGGATTAGCTGCTTTCTGTTTTAAATAGATACATTCAAGAGAGTAAGACACAGATTTAAAAAAAAAAAATATCTGCACACCTAAAAATGCTTGTAAAATGTCTTACCTTAAATGATGCACGTAAGAGATTATTAGAAGAAGAGTAGTAGAAAAAAGGCACAGTACCTCTCTTTTATGGTTTTGCATGTTCCCTGAGGAGAAAAAGGAAAGAGTTTATTGATAGAGGTAAATTAGTAGTGTAGTGACTGCTTAGTTTCTCTGCATTAGACATTGTGAGGTTTTTAATTGCTGGTACAAAGTCTTTCTATTTAATTTTAACTTGGCCTCAACAGAGGAATAGGACATTCTAATTGTACCTGTTTCAGTCATGGCAATCTTCCTCTCTTCAGATGTCTTGGAGGAAATTCCTTATCTGAATACAACTCTCAGGAACAGACTATTTTGCCATTTTCTTGTTAAGCAGATTTCAAGTGTTAAGAAGTAGGCTTAAAAACAAAAAATGGAGTCACTAGAAACTGTCATGAGTGTGTGCTCTTATAGTCACAGAGAATTACTGAATTGTACTTTTTTAATGTACTTTGTACATTTTAACTTCTGAGTACCTTTGGATCTTCCCTGAACTTCCTAGATTTTGGATCCAGAAGCTGTTCTTTACTTTGTGGAAACTGTGGTGCTGTGAAATTCCCCTTTCTATTCTCTACCTTGTTGTCTTGCTGTTATTATTTAGAGTTCCTGGGTGAATAAATCCCTGAGAAATGTTCTCTCTGCCTGCAGACTATAGACTAAAAAGAGAACAAGGTCTGGCAGCACCAGCTATTGGCATGTCTTTGGATATACAAAGTCCATTTTTGATGGGAAACTCATTTAACTCTGGACCTTGTAATTGAAGAGAAAGAGGTTGCCAGCTAACAGCAGCTGTTAGCAGCACAAGCCCAGATAAAATAATCTTTAAACTGCTCACCTTTAGGCTGTCAGTGGCCCAGACACAACATCTCCCAGTTGGCACAGTCCCACTGGGACCTGTTGTCCCTGTATATGCCAAGTCTTGTGTGAGCACTGGAATGGCACTGCTGGCACTGTGATAAGCACACTGGTCCCTGGGTACCTGCTGAAAACCAAGATAAAAGCTGGGAAAACAGCAAAGATCTCTCTGCTCTCAGTTCTCCGCCAACGGCCTTGGCACAGGTGCCGGTAGTGTTTCTGTTTTTCATAAAAGCAGCTTTACCCTCTTCCTCCTCTGCTCTTTCACTCCATTTACACCTCCCCTGATAAGGTGAATTATGCTGCCTGATGTAGCATGGGTTTCAGCCAGGTTTTGGCAGAACTCTTCCAATTCCTTGGAGGTGGTTTTGGAGGATTTCAGGTGAGCTTGCAAGTGCAGGAATCCTGACAAGATGACAATGCCACTTCTCTGGCAGTTCTGACAGCCAGACAAATTGACCATTGTTCTATTTCTTCCCCATTCTTATTCCACTTCCCCTGCTAGCCACAAAAGTTGGAAACAATGGTTTCCTTGAACTTGAAAACTCCTAGTCAAAAGCAGCTGTTTGCCTGTGAGTGCGTACTGCTCCAGATAAATATTTCTAGTAGCAAAATCTTCAATGCACCTTAAAAACAAGTATTATAAAAAGGAAAAGAACCAATTTTGTAAATATATATCCTGAAAACCGTTAAACCACTCAAATTTGTGGGAATATCAGCCAGGCACTGCCTAGCCATCAGTCTGTGTGCTGTTACATCTGTTGGAAGAATCAGGGCTTGAGTCTGCAAGATCTGTAGCAGTTCAGAGGTGCAATTTAATCAGCTTCAGAGAATTTGGGATGATTTGACTGGAAGGGTGTGGCACAGTGGAAGCCTGCAGAGCTCCTCCTCACT